ATTTAATAATTTTGGAAATTGTTTAAAATTTATATTTTGCAAATTGGTGTATAATAAAAGGTTGATTTACAGTTCACTTCAATTTTAACACTTGGGGATATATTGTTCACTTTCGAACAATGCACTTTGAAAAGAATACTTGAAGATATACTGTTCACTTTTCAAAGATGTACTTTGAATTCACTTGTAACTATGTGATGTGCTAACGTTGACTGGACGATGTAAACTGGTTGATTCCCAAAAAATTACTCTCTATCTCTTGTACTGAACGATGTGTTCAGGTTGATTTCTAAATAGTTACTCTCTTCTACTAAGCGATGTGTTCAAGTTGATTTCTAAAAAACTACTCTCTGATCTGAGTAGAACTCATATCCCCTTTTATATAAAACTGTCTTCATCAATTCTTTGGAATCATACACGTGTCGATGTTGCTTGGATTTTAAGGGGGGTTGGAGCGACTGGCTGCAATGCCGTGAAGACTGTCTAAGAGGCGTGAGGAGTGATTATTTTCTCTCTCAGTTGTGACTGCTAGGCGACTGTTGTCTCTCTCTTTTGTGGCTGGTAGGTTGCAATCCAGAGCGATAGTTTAAGGGGGGTTGAGGGGCGACCGTTGTACCTCTCAGTTCAGATTCCAGAAATTAGACACCTGCCTGCTTGTTTTATACACTCCAATGATTATGGGATTATATTAATCTGTTTGATGGATTATCGTTATTCTTTTTACATGAAAAGTATTACCCATCTTTCTTGGATTTGTTATAATTTATAAGTTTGTTTAAATACATATCAAATTTATAATGACAATTACCTTCTTATTAAATATATTGAATATAATGCAATAATATGAAGAGATTGTATGAATACGTATTTCAAATACGTTAGTATAATATATATGTATAATTCAATATGTTTAAAAGAAATACACACCTGAATATTATAGATAATTTAAGTATATTAAGAAGTTACGGACGTAACAATCATAATAAATTTTTACTACAAAAATATTTTCTAAATTTTAAATTATTTTTTACTCTCAAAATATTTATTTTATGCTCTTTTATTAATCATTATTTTTCTCTATTTTTTGCTATCATGAAATGTTTCTTTAGAATGAAAATTTTTGTTTTACAAAAATATTTATTTTAGTACAAAATATCTTGTTACTACTATGAAAGAGTTCATTACAATGAAAATGTTTGTGCTAACAAAACGCTTTTTTACTATAAAAATTTTGTATTATAAAAATATTTTGCTCAGTATACAATATTTTTTTACTATTATAGAATGGTATTTTATGATAATAATTTTTGTACTACACAATTTTCTTTTCATTTAAAATTATTTTTTACTTAAAAAATATTTATTTTACTATTTTGCTATTTCACTATTTTTCTCTATTTTTTTTTACTATTATAAAATAATTCTTTACTATAAAGATTTTTTTACTACAAAAATATTTTTGTATTGTAAAAATGTTTGTTTTAGTATAAAATATCTTTTTACAATTTATTACAAAATACTCCATTACTATGAAAATTTTTGTATTAACAAAATATATTTCAACTATAAAAATGTTCGTTTCAGCATAAAAATACTATAAAATTAATATAATATACTATAAATATACTAGTAAATATACTATAAAAATATTTGTTTAACTATAAAAATATTTGTCTCACTATAAAAACATTTGTTTCATGTATATAAGATCATTCTTTTTACAAAATAGTATTTTATCACAAAAATTTTTGCACTACAAAAATATTTTTTTACTATAAAAATAATTGATTCACTACAAAAAATGTTTTTACTATAAAAACATTTGTTTGACTAGAAAAACATTTGTCACAGTATAAAATATTTTTCCCTACTTCAAAATAGTATTTTATCATAAAATTTTTTGTACTAAAAAAATATATTTTTACTGCAAAAATACTTGATTCACTGTAAAAAAAATGTTTTTAATTTTAGAAAAATAGTTTTCTTATTACAAGAATTTTTTTACTACGAAAATATTTTACGATAAAAATTTTTTTACTACAAAAATATTTTTTTCTATAAACATTTTTTTTTTGTTATCAAAATTTGGTTATATACTGCAACCACTTTCCTAGCATGATGAAATTATTTTTTATACTAAAAATTCCTGTTTTCTTCAAAAATTTTTCTACCACCAAAATTTTGGTCAACTATAAAAATAAATTTTTACTACCCAAGGAGATTAAAATTAAAGTTTTATTTTTCGAAAAAAGTCTGAGATTATCACTAAAGATTAACGATAAGTAATTAAAAATAAAATTACACACACGCACAGAAAATTATGTTTATTCTTTTTTAAAAATATTTTTTAAAATCTATAAATATAAAAAATTTTTTCAAGCAATTCGTCAGTGTCAAAAATAAGTTTGGATTATTTATTACTTTTTTCTTTAGAGTAATTGCATTGGGTTTGAGAAAAAAAAGAGACAGGGATTTTCCTATGTCCTATGTCCCAAGGGTAGGATAGTAGTTCTATGGGGCGTGCCATACCCCCTTTTTCCTCCCTCTCTCTCTCGCACCCCCTCACCCCTTAGGTCACCCACCAACTTGAGTATCCTAGCCCTGAGTCGTTCTCCTTGTCTAATAGTCTCACCTTTCTCTTTCTTTCGTTCTCACCCCCTTTTCAAGGTCATTTAACGGAGGTAACGTTGCCATGACAACGCACGAGCCCAGAATAACGGGCAACCCCTTTTCATCCCCCTTTTGCCATGCTCTCTCTCTCTTTTTCCACGTGTGTATATACAATATATAGCCTTCTATGAGTGTCAAGTAAGGGAGTAACAATTGCATAATTTTACTCGATTCACGCCAATAATATGTTGGTTGATGCGATCTTCATTCCACCCTTTTTGTGTTAAAGGATTTTTTTTTTCTACTTTCCTTTCTTTTTTATTCCTCTATCGATAAATTCGAGGCTAATTTTCTAATTTATTGCCCAAGAGTGTGAAACGAATTCCACCTTCTATACTCATGTAAAGATTGATGTATAAATTCTCCTCGTGTGTGTGTGTGTGTATTGGTTTTCTGTTCAACTTGAAAATTGCAGGAGTGAGAAGAATTTTTAGTTTTATTTACTTCGATTTTTTGTCGATGAATTTTTATATGGACAAAAGAAATAATCTTTTTTTTTTAAAGAGAAGAAAATTTCTTTGACGAAAAAATAATTAATTTCTTTTGTGAAAAAAAGAAAAATTTTGTTTTCATTATTTAATTTATTTTGAAATAAAAGGAAAAATTTCTTTTTGCGAAAAAAGAGATCTTTTTGATAAAAAAGAGAATCTTTTGCGAAAAAAATAAACTATATTTCTTTTGCAAAATAGAAAATAATTTCTTTTGCAAAAAAAAATGAAATTTATTTTTCGAGGAAAGAAAAAATTTCTTTTGCGAAAAAAAGAAATAATTTCTTGGGCAAAAAGGAAATTAATTTTTCATCCATCGAAAAAGGGGAAATTTCTTTTGCAGAAAGAGAAAACAATTCTTTTGCGAAAAAAAGAGAAAATATCTATGGCAGAAAAAAAACATTACTCTCTTGCAAAATAGGAAATAGTTTCTTTTATGAAGAATGAAAAAATTTCTTTTGCAAAAAAAGAGAAAATATCTTTTACGGAAATTTTACAATTTTTACAGGAATTTCTTTTGAAAAAAGAGAAAAATATCTTTTGCAGAAAAAGAAATAATTTATCTTGTGAATAAGAAATTAGGTTTCTTTTGTTAAAAAAGAAAAAAATTATTTTGCGAAGAAAGAACAAATTTCTATTGCAAAGAAAGAATTAATTAATTAATTTTGAAAGAAAAAATTCTTTTGCAAAAATATTTTTTTAATTTAAATTATATTTTGCTATAAAAATATTTGTATTACTATTTCACTATTTCACTATTTTTCACTATTTGTTTTTGCTATTACAAAATAGTTCTTTATTATTGTGAAAATATTTAATTTCAGTATTTAAACTATTTTTTACTATTTAAAAAATGTTTAATATATAAATTTTTATACTAAGTACAAAAATATCTTTTTACAATAAAAATATTTGTATCTTTGGCAAAAAAAGAATTAATTTCTTTTGCAAAAAATAAAAAACATTTTTCTTACGAAATGGAAGATAATTTCTTATGCGAAAAAGCAAATAATTTATTTAATAGAAAAAGAAAAAAAATTCTTTTACGAAAAATAAAATACATTTCTATTTTGCAAAATAGAAAATAATAATTTCTTTTGCAAAAAAGGAAAAAAAAATGTATCTTTCGAAAAAAAAAAAATTTGTTTGCAAAAAAGAAAATAATTATTTCTTTAGCGAAACAAATTAATTTCTTTGGCGATAAAAGAAACAATTTCTTTTGGTTGAAGAAGAAATAATTTTTTTTTTTGCAAAAAGAGAAAGAAATTACAAAAGGAAAAAAATATGCGAATTCCATACGGTATTAAATTTCAAAAAAAGAAGAGAAAAAAACCGTGAACTAAGTTCCTGATAAACTTCTTTAGGAATTCGTAAAGAAATTTGAGAAATTTGAGAAATTTTCTAAAATTATATGAACCGTAAATTTCTGGTTCATAGCTTTATGGATTATTATGTTCCATAAGAACCATTTATATAATAACTCTTGTAAAATTTACGGTAAAATCTACAATAAAAAGATTTTATGATTTTGAAAAACTTCTTTCTCCAGTTTACTATAACAAAGGGGGCTAATTTTGATGAAAATTTCATCAAATTTGTCTTTTCAAAAACCATCAATGAATTATTGAATTAAATTATTTAATTAAATATTATAAATTATTATAAATTATGAATGATTTAATAATTATAATAATAAATAGTTATTATTGATTATGTTAACATTTTAACTTTTTATATTTTCTTAATAAACAGTTATATAAATAAAAAAATTATACTCATTAAATTGTTTAAGGTTTGTTTATTAACATTTATAAAACAAAAAATTACATACCCATCTCTGCTCGCGATACACAACATTCATGTGTTTATTTCGACTGACTCCATCTTACCTCAATTGTCGTATACGAACCAATATTTCTCATTTTCTCCTGTCATCGTTACAGCTCGAATGCAGTAAACCTTTAAAGAAATAATCATTTATTTATTGAGAATAAACTGTACAAGTGAATTAGAGAGGTAAGAATTTTCAATTTAAATATTTAACAAAGTAAATAAAAAATGTCAATTGGCATTATTTTAAAATAGTGGAAATGAATACAAGGTTCGATTAAATAAAAAATAAAAAATTGTTGTCTTAATTAAACTCTAATTAACATCTATCAAAGGAAAAAATATGGAAAATTTCCTTTTTTTTGTCACTATAAGTAATGACGTTTGAAATTTTTTCGCTCATTGATACTGATTTAAGTGAAGTTAACAACGCGATTATTTAAAAACAAAATATATTTTTTATGCAAATTGTTAAATATTTTTCTCAAGTAAAATCAATAAAAACTTATTTTGATAAAATATTTTAAACAATTTTTTTTCTATAGTTAAAAAATATTTTCTTTTCTTTAATCGTTGATTATACGACGTTGAAAATTATCGTTTACTACTCTTATAAATATGTGACGTTCCACGGTAAAAGGTGACTTATGTTGAAAAAATTGTAGGTTACGATTGTTAAGTCTAAAAGGTAAAATTTTATAAAAGAAAAATTAACATCAGCAAAAAAGATATTTAAATCATTATTATATTATCTAAAATATTCAATAAAAGTTACTTCTGGTTTCAGTTAAAAAAAAAAAAAAATGCTTATAAACAAGGAGAAAAAATGATCATAAACATAACATAAAATTTTTGACGCATAAGGTACCTTTCATGGTGAAGTGAAAATTGGATTTTTAAACAAATTCTATTGTTTCCTCCTAAAATTAGGTTCTAATGGATATCAAGTCCGGATTAGCGTCTATTTCTCTTACAAAAGGAATTAAAATAGCTGAAATTAAGGCTTACTTTGAGCACAAAGCTAAAAATCTTGTGCAGAATATCAACACGATTTCAAAAGTGAAAGCACACTTTAAAAATAGGTGAATTTTTTTGAAAACTTAAAATAATACGTAAGATATGCAGTGCTCAAACCAGTAAAAGGTAAAAGGTATTAGAACCTTTTACAACTTGAGATTTTATAATTCGTCTAAATTTCAAATTAAACGGAATTAAATGACGATATTTTTTAAAAACAATTTTTCCCAAACGCAGGAATGTGATTTATGTGTAAATAATACGTATCTATTATAAAATATAATTCATTTAAATAATTTAATTAATAAAGTTAAATAATTTAATATTTAATTAGTTAATTTAATATTTAATAAAAATCGATAAAAACTTAATATTTCATTAATATTAGTGAAAAGTGGTCCATTAAATAAATTAATAAAAGTTTCATGATCAAAAAAGCTTTCAACGTTCAAATGAAAAAAATATTTTTTATTAAAAATATCAAAAATTATTGAGTGCGATAAAAATTAAAAAATTGTAACATCTCGAAATTCTATCATTTAGTTTTTTTTCTTTTTGATAGTGACGCAAAATTATTGTAATAAAAATTTAATTTGAAGAAGAAATAAATGAATTTTGTTCATTTGAACGTTCAGAACTTTTACTCATTAAAAAATTTCTACTAATTTTTAGTAACTTTCGACTAAAAGTTAAATAAAAAAAATAAAAAATTTTAAATTACTAAATGAAATAGAAATAGTTATGATTGGATTTTTTTATATTAAAATAAATTTTATCTACAAAAAAAGCATTTTTATCATATCATTTTTTGATAATTATTTTTTCTATTTTATTATTATTTTCCTCGAGAACTATTAGTTTATAAGGAGTTTATAAAAAATTCGTAAAATAAAAATCTTTGTAAAAAAATTAATAAGGAATAAATTAAAGTAAAGAATTAAAATAAAGAAACTTTGTAAGATTTCTTTTTCCTCTTTAAAAAAAAGTTTATTATTTTAATAGAGCTATTTTGCACCTACGTTTTAAATTCGTTCGACAAAAAAATATTATTACTGCGCGCTCACGATTAATAAACATGTGATCGTAAAACTCTCTCTCTCATTTCTTTATCTTTAGCAAAAGTTTATTTTTCCTCTGTTCAAAAGAATTACTTTGCAAAATTAAAATACTGATCGATTACTATATGAAAAGATTTATTTTAATATGCGGACCTCATAAATCATCGATTTGACGCAAAATCCCAACTCACTGGGAGCAATTCGCTTCAGGCATAAATAATTCATTTCTATCATCCACAACTATAAAAATCTCTGCAATCTAGATTTCGAATTAATAACCATTCTTCTTCATCTTGAGGCAAAGGAAAAAAATTCTTTTCTATTCTTATTTCACTATGTACAAGTTTAAAAAACAGAAAAGATTAAAAAAAAACGAATAAAAATAAAAATGAGGAAAAGAAGCAACAACAGGGTTGCCACAAATATTTTATTTTATTTTTCCCTAATTTCCAGACAAAATTTTTATTTTTTTCTTGACACTAAAGAATATTCTGATTCACTCTGAAAATTATTATTAGATACTCAAAAAAATGTTCTATTACATTTATTAACAAATTTCTTTAATTGTAAAATTATTCAAAAACATCAATAACTTCTTTGAAAACTTCTTCATGTTTTGTAATAATTTAAATTACCATAAAATTTTTCAAAAAAAGTTAATTATTTACAAAAATCCTAATAAAATCCTTCGCAAGAATTCAATTATTTTTAAAAGTAGTAAAATTTCTAAAAAAAAATTCAATTATTAAAAAAAAATGTAATAAAATTCGTTGCAATAATTCAATTATTTTCATAAATATTAAATCGATATTATTCGGTAATTCAATTAATTAAATCAATTTTTATTAGGAAATTCTAGAAGAATTCAATTATTTAAATTAAAAAATAAATAATTTATTCAATAATTGAATGTTTCTTAAAATTCAATTCTCATAAATAATTTTATCAACAAATTTTTAAATAATTGAATTCTTTTGACAAATTTTAATAAAATTTCTAAGAATAATTACATTTTTTGAGGAATTTGATTAAAATATTGTATCAAAAATAATTAAAATTCTGCGATGAGTTTTATTATTTATGAAAATAATTAAAATTTTCCAAAGAATTTTATTAAAATTTTTCTAAAATAATTGAATTTCGAAAAAAAAATTTATTATTTATAAAGAAACTTGAAATTTTGACAAGAATTTTTGAACATAATTGAATTTCTGCGAAGAATTTTATTACTTTTGAAAATAATTTAATTCTTCAAACGAATTTTATTCAAGTTTATAGAAATAACTGAATTTCCGTGAAGAATTTTATTCAAGTTTATAAAAATAATTGAATTTCGGTGAAGAATTTTATTATTTATAAAAATAATTGAATTCTTGAAAAGAACTTTGTTCAATTTTTTTAAATAATTGAATTCTTGCGACGAATTTTATAAAAATCTTTTTAAATAATTGATATTTTTCGAAAAATTTTATGAAATTTTGTATTTTAAATAATTGAATTCCAGAATTTTATTAAAATTTTTTAAAATAATTGAATTTCGATGCAGAATTTTATTATTTATAAAGATAATTAAAATTTTGACGAGAATATGTTTTTTTCAAATTTTTGAACATAATTGAATTTCTACGAAGAATTTCATTACTTTTGAAAATAATAATTTAATTCTTCCAACGAATTTTGTTCAAGTTTATAGAAATAACTGAATTTCTGTAAAGAATTTTATTATTTTTTATAAATAATTAAATTCTTGCAACGAATTTTATTCATGTTTATAAAAATAATTGAATTTCAGTGTAGAATTTTACTATTTATAAAAATAATTGAATTTTTGCGACGAATTTTTTAAAAATCTTTCTAAATATTTAATGTTGTTCGAAAAATTTTATGAAATTTTGTATTTTAATTTTTAAATAATTGAATTCCTGTGATAATTTTATTACTTGTAAAAATAATTGAATTATTTCGAAGAAATTTATTTTAAAAAATTTTGTAAATAATTGAATTTCTGTGAAATTTTGCCAAGAATTTTATTAAAATTTTTAAAAATAATAGAATTTCGATGAAGAATTTTATTATTCATAGTTTACGAGGCAAACAAAAAAAAACTTAAAAATTCAGAGTTTTTTCATGAATTTTAAAAATTTAATTTTTTCCAGTACTTTTACTAAATATCCCTGACTTTTTCCTGATTTCCCTGAACAATTTTACTTTCCCTGATTTTTCCCTGACTTCCCTGACATGTGGCAACCCTGAGCAATAATACAAAAGACAAAAATCAACAACAACAAAAATTATAATATATCTAAATTTAAATTAATAAAAGTTCTTACTAATATGAATTACTATTACTCTCTTCTTATTTTTGTTTTGATTCATAAATATTGATTCCTAAATTCAATCACTATAAATCAAATTGTTAAATTTTTTTTTACAAATTTCGATTTAAAAGAACGAAATGTAAAAAGAAAATATAAACAATAAAGTCAATACCAATTTTCGTCGAAATTGCTAAAAATATAAATTTTCAAAGACTAATACGCATTCTTAAAATAAAACATTCATTTATAAACATAAGTTTTATATAGTCATTATGCAATTTTATAACTCTCGTTGCTATTATTATTCATATTGCCAAAGAAATACGACATAAGTTTGGTCAAAACACGTGCTCATCTTTCGCCCAACGTCATATATAATATAGATACAAACAAATATCAGATATCAAAACTTTTAAAATTCTTTTTAAACAAAATTTTATCCAAAAAACTTCTGTCCTTATAATTGAAGAAAAAAAAATAAATATCTACGTATATCACACACTCATAAAATGTATTTTACAAAAGGAGAGAAAGAGGGAGATAAATATTTAGAAAGAAAATATATATATGCGCCTTGCCGTTTATTTCTGTCTGACGTAATATTGACTTTACTACTTGCTACCGATTTCAATGGTAACCGACGATTGAATAAGACGAAAAAGAAAATAATTTCGATTTTCAAACTTTATGTTGAATATTATTAATTATTTACTAGTTAGAAAAAGAATATTTTCTA